ATTACAATGGAAATCAATCAGGTTTGAAAATGAGCAAGTGACATAATATACTTTCCCTTTCTAATTAGCATAAAATAATTTCAGGTCTCTTTTTCATAAAGTTACAATGACCGTACATCCCTACTAATTAACTCATCTTACCTCTCTTTACCTTCATAGTTTAGTTTCTTTAAAAGGTTCTAAAGTCTCCTTTTCTACTTCCTCCCCTTCCATTAACTCCTTAATTGGATTTTATTTCTGCCTCTAGCACTCTAATTTAAACCCTGCTTTTACCAAGATCACAATGCCTCTTCTGTGACAAATCCAGTATAAATTTTTAGCCTTCAATTTGTCATCTCTTTTCCTGAAGTGCTCTTTTTCCTTATGAATCAAACCAGTCTCCTAAATTTCCTAACGCTGCCTGATCTTTATTTTCAAAGTTCTTCCTCTGATGAACTCCTAGAAAAGAGTTTCACATGAAGCCCTACAAGTCTGCCTCCTAATATTTCTTAAAAATGTTCTCTTTTTTTCATTATCCTTCAGTAACTTAGTTAAGGCTATATTAACTTTTGTGTAGATTAGCGCAATATCCTCTAAAAACTAGTCTTCTTGTTAAGATGGCATAGGTTAACTGTAGATATACTACTCTGTAAATAATCAAAGCTAGAAAAAACATATAAATCAGCAGCTTCAAGACATCAGATAACAGGCAATAAAGGATATGGATCCCTGAGAGAAAATAAACAAATGGTGATTCCTAAGTTTGTCCCCAGATTACTGCCTTGAGAGTTCCTCAGCTGCAGGTAAAAAAGGGAGAACCATGGCAGAGTTCAGCAGACTTCCTGAGTTCAGAGAACACAGCTGGGATTCTTGGGAGACCAAGATAAGCAGACAGAAATTTCCGGAGATCGCAGAGGGTAGCCCTTATCAGCGGGGTAGTAATCAGAATGAACGTGTAGGAAAGCTACCTAAGGTAGGAAAAGAACACTAAAAAGATTTCAGGGAAAACATACAAGACACAAAATAGCATCTATTCCCACCAGTCACCCTGGAAAATGTTGCAATTTCTGGTGTAATGGGTAGAGAAGACATAAGGATCTTGTCCTTATAGTAGGGAAGAATTAGTGCTAGTCTAAACATGGCTCTAATCTCATCTCATGAATATTAAAAATTTACAATGTCTGGCACTCAACTATAAATTGTAATCATACAAAGGAATATGACCCATAATGAAAAAAAATCAATAAAATGGACCAGAAGTGATACAGATGTTACATTTAGTAGGGCAAAGACATTAATAAAGATTTTAGTACAGTATGCCATATGATCCAAAAGTTAAGTAGACATAAGGCAGATACAAAAACAAGACTGAACTTCTAGAGAGAATGGGAACCAAAAGATCTAAAATGAGGAATATGATGAATGGGATTAATAGATCAAGGTGGCAGAAAAAAAGACTGTCATCTATTGAAGCTAGAGAAATACAAACTATCTGGAATGGAACACACAGAAAAAAAGAACATATAAAAAGTGAAAAGAGCACCTCTGAGGTACAAGGCAACAAGTGAAATTGGAGTCCTCAAAGAAGAGAAGGGGTAGGAAGCACAGAAAAATATTTTAAGAAATAATACCTGTATTTCCAAATCTGACAAAAATTATAAACTCACAGATCAAAGAAACTCAATGAACCCCAAGAAAAGGAAACAAAACCACACCAAGGCACTTCATAATCATATTGCTCAAAACCAGTGAAAAGTATGTCTTAAAAACAGAAAAGAACAAATATAAGGACAAAATTTCTGTTAGAAACAGTGTAAATTAGAAAAGAGTGAGGCTGTATCTTTAGCGCATTGAAAGACAAAACTGCCAACCTAGAACTCTATTCCCACAGAAAATATCTTTCAAAAATTAAGGTGAAATACTTAATTTATAAAAGTGTAAATAATCCATCACTTGTATTACAAGAAATGTTAAAAGAAGTCATTCAGTCTAAGGTAACATATTACATGGCAGTAACATGGAAACATAGGCCTAAACAAAGAAATTGGAAGTACCAGAAATGGTAACTGAGTGGATAAACACAAAAAGACATTTGAAAATTTAAATCTGTTTAAAAAGTAAGAGTTCTGCTTTCTACTGAGAGGAAATAAACACACATTGACCTGCGTCTCCCATTAAATATAGCTATAAAAACCAGGTGTAGTGGGGCACATTTGTGACTCCATCATTATGGGAAGCTGAGGCAGAAAGATAGCAAGTTTGAGCCCATCCTAGGTAACTTAGCAACTTAGCAAGATCCTTTCTCTAGAGAAAGAAAAGTGCTTGGCTCGGGAGCATATATACTAAAAGAGAGAGAGACAGAGACAGAGACAGAGACAGACAGAGATGGAATGCAAAATCTCCTAACATTCTTCTTTAATCTCTTTACTCCTTATCTTTTCCTTGGTCCTGTATAATCCCATGACAGTTAGAGGAGCAGCTGATAATGGGAACCCACAGGAGACCAAACCAGATGAGAAAGCTTCCTTCCTGTTAGGCAGATTATGTATGGTACCAAGAGGGTAGAGCCAACCCCTGTTGCTGTTCTTAACTTCTGGCCACATGGCTCCAAGTGTACAAGCAGAGACAAGTAACTTAAGTCTCAGCTTTCTGTCCAGATGATGAAAGAGAGGTGTCCCGGGGAGCTGGAAAATACCAGGAGATAGAGAAGAGAACAACATCCAAGAAAGTGACCCCATAAGGCTGTTTATGATTTCTTCTGCAAACCCTCCAAACATGCACGAATGTATCTATCTATTCAGCATATTAAGGACTCTGGAAACTGAACTAACAGACTACTACCCAGGTCTCAGATTAGTCAGGGTGCACATGCTAAGTAGATCCAAATAGCACTAACAAGCTTTGAAAAACAAACTGACACTGAAACCATGAGCCAAGAAGGCATCACAGGGTCACATTAAGCCACTAAGTTGTCCTAGCTGGATGCAAACTTGTGATCTTGCTGCCTCAGCCTCCCAGTGTGCTGGGATAACACGCACATACCAGCATGCCCAGCTCACAAATAAAACTTTATTGGAAATGAAACTATAGTCATACTTACTGTTGCTTTGTTCTATAGCTGTCAGAGTTGAGAATGGGTTACAGATACCAAAAGGCTTTCAAAGCCAAAACTATTCATCATATGGTCATTTAGAGAAAACATTTCTTTTCAAGTGTCCCCTGAGCACTCAGAGTATATCTATACTATTTGTTAGAGTTAACATGTAGGACCTTTCATAATCTGGCTCTGCTTAGCCCTTCCAAGGCTCTGTGGCTGTCAGTCATTGTCATGAATTTTGAACATTAGCGATCCATGTTGACTTATATCTAGTTCCCCATGCTTCACATGTCCTCTTTACTCCTGAGTTTTGATGATTCTCTGCCCTAAACCTCTGCTTGCCTTTGGATTAGCTAACTACTTCTTTCCCTCAGCGCATCACATTTTCCAGAAATTACTTCCTTGGTTTTCTGAGACTGATTTATGCCCTCATATATATTTGTTATGGTTTAGAGCAAGAACATCCCTCCAAGGTCTCCTGCACTCATAGGAAGGGCTTTTGTAAGGTGACTGAATCATGGGGGTGATACAGCTGACTGCTGCTGGGAGGTGGATCACTAGGGTGTGACCTGGAAGAGTGTATCTCCCTCGCAGGTTCCTTCCTTCTCTGTTTCCCGGCCACCATAACATGAGCTGTTTTTCTGTCAGATGCTTCCACTATGTCTTTTCTACCTTGGAGCTGGCCAACTATGGACTGAACCATGAACCGAAATAAATCTCTCCTTCTTTAAGTTGTGGAAGTCCAGTATTTTGTCCTAGACACTAGAAAGTAACTAAGACAGTATTCTTACCATAGCCTCTTGCCATCCTTTCCACTAGATCCTATCCTCAAGAGGAGGACTATGTCTTAACCATTATCATACAACTACTCGTTAAAATAGGTAGCATAGAGTAGATAATAAAAAACTGCCAAATAAATAAGCAAAATAAATGTTATCAAGACTTAGGTTTTTCTCAAGCGCAAGAAAGAATTCAACAAAAATATTTCATCAAAAAATTACTTAAAATTAAACCTGTTCATGGTCAGACTTGCCCTTGTTTAAGCTCCAGAAGAGTACATATGTTTCTATTTTGTTGATTGCTGTAACCCTGGTGCACAGGACAATGTAAGAAAATAATGGGTACTCAGGAATTATTGCTGGGTAGATGAATCATTAAGTTGTATTTTCTCAATACCTCAGCAAAGTGCTTAAGGGACCTTTTTCAGATTCTATCAAAGTTCATTCTCTGGTTCTCATTAAGAATCATTCCTGGGGCCGGGGATTTAGCTCAGTGGTTTCACCGCCTGCTGCGCAGGCTCAAAGACCCGAGTTCGATCCCCAGTACCAAAAAAAAAAAAGAATCATTCCCCACTGTGCATTGAGGGGCATGCTTATAATCCTAGCTACTCAAGAAGCTGAAGCAGGAAGATTAGAAATTCAAGGCCAAGGTGGGCAATTTACTGAAAATTGTCTCAATAAATTAAATTAAATGAATGAATGAATGAGTAAATAAACAAATAAGTGATGTGGGTGTGTAGCTCAGTGGTAGTCCACTTACTCAGCATGTGTGAGGCACTGGATTCACTCGCAGTATAAAAATAGAATAAGAATTATTCCTAGTAACAGATTAGTATAACATGGCATAAAGGGTTAAAGTAATACAATTACTTAATATATTTAATAAAATTTAAATATGTAATCATTAATTCTCTCTTACACTATACAATTCTATATAAAAATCTTTGCTACTCTTAAGACTGAATCATTTCCTACATTTTTCACATGTTACTAAGACAAGGTAGTGCTTCTCTTCTAAGAGAAAAAAATATTAAAATCGAATTCTTTCCATCTCTCTCAATCCTTGTGTTAGTTCCTTCAGAGGGTTGGCCTACAGTTTACATGTATGTTAAAACACAATAAGACATTTACATGTTTATACATACTTTCAGTTGCCAAGAAGGACGTATCCAGTGTTAACTCATCCAGGGGAATTACAAGTTGACCTCCTATCTCCCACTTCTTTCGATCAGATAAAACTGGTTTTTCCTTGTCATTTTCTTTGGCATCTTCACAAACAATTATCTCACAAGTATCAGAGTGATGCTGCTTTCCTTTTTCAACTTCTTGAGCTTTAAGGTTTTCATTTAACCTACGTAGTATTTCTCGCTTACTCTGAAACAGTTATGCTATATTTTAATATCTACATGATATAATGACTGACAGAGAAACTTTGAAAATTGAACTTACTGAAGTAGCACTGTTGGTTTTTTGCATTTCTTCTGAAGTTTCCTGGGAATCAATTAAACTTTTGTCCTAAAATACAGATAGTTACAGAAAAAGAAATTATGTTATTTTAAGTCTACCTTTGTCCTTGCTTTGGCAGCACATATACTAAAAGTTTACCTTAAAAACGCTAGCATTTTTGTTTGTATGTCAAATTGCTTATTGTGAACATTTTTGTTCTTGTAAATTGTTAACAAAGCTTCCTTCATTAGTATTAATGATAAACATTTAAATATTATTAATAGACAATATACATAAGGGCCAAATTTCAATTATTTTTCATATATTTGGAATATTGCTCACATGTTTAACTATATCCTCCTCCTCTTTGGGACTTAAGTTTTGGAAATTTAAAGTCAATGGGAGAAATTAAAAAATTAATTCATTTACTTTGTTAGAGCCAGGAAAAGTTCTAATGGATAAAATAGTCCAAGATAGGCTGTGTTATTTTGAAACTGTCTTTATATGTATATATTTTTTTCTCATTAAGCCATAGTATTAAACATTTAATACCACAGTATCACACAATTGAGGACTGGCTTTCTTCCCTAGGTAAAGATGATAACAAGAATGAGTTCTGTATCATTTGTTTCTTTAACAATATATATATTTTGCTTTCTTATTAGTGTAAAAGTGATCTAGACCACCTAGAATTTTAAAATATTTGAAAAGGAGAAATCAGTTGTTATAAAAACTATGAAAACCAAAGATATCTTCAAGACTTACAATAACTAATATTCAAAGCTGTAAATAGACAATGTGTATCCATGTAATACAGTAAGGAAAAACTTAGTTACATGGATAACCTCAAGTTTTTTAATATTTGAAAAAAAAGTATAGTGGTCAGTTTTAAAATAATACATGTAAATGAGACAAGGAACATTTTACCCAGTAAAGTGGCCAGGAATTATCAGTCGCTACAATCAGAGAGATGAACAGCTACTTGAGATGTAAGACTGGGTATCAGGAAGGAAACCACACAGTAAAGTGAACAATGTAGCACATCGAAGTCATCATGAGAAAGAAAAAGAGACAAAATCTTCTTGAACAACAATAGTTTGTTATACGAGGTACTGGGGAGTGATCAAGAAACATATTTTCGTACTAGGTCTTATTTTCAGAATAAACACAGGCTGTAAAAGACTAGTGAACCAATTGATACCTTCTGTTGTCTATGAAAAATGAAATTGAACAAATAAAAGGCAATGACACTGATCAACAGAGAAGGAGAAAGGGGAGTTAATGTATTATGTGATTCAATACACTATTTTCCTTTATTTGTTTTGAATTCTAAGCAGAAATTCCAAATGATAAGCCCATCTGTTTCAACCTCAGAACTCTTACCAGTAACACACTTCAGATACCTGACATGATACTTCTAAGTTTAAACTTTTCACTTGTCCATGACTGTCTGTTTTACAACTCATATGGCATACAGAGATTAAAAGTAGGAAGCAGTAGTTGACGAATTAAGTGTAATTACACTGAATCCCCTCCCATTCACTATGTCACAAAATTTCAAGTAAATGGTAATGTGTTAGACTCAAGTCCAAGTGTTAGTTATTTAAGTACCAAAGAATTTTTTAGGAGAGGATGTACTGGGAACTGAACCCAGGGTCTTCACACTGAGCTACCTCTAGCCTTTTCTAGTTCTAAATTTAATTTTATTTTTTTTGGTACCAGGGATCAAACTCAAGACCTTGCGCTTGTGAGGCAGGCAGCGGAACCACTGCGTTAAATCCCGTCTGAGCCTTTTTTATTTTTTGATTCAGGGTCTCACTAAGTTGCTCAGGCTGGGCTTGAACTTGTAATCCTCCTGCCTCAGTTTCCCACAGTGCTGGGATTACAGACATGCACCAACAGGCCTGGCAAGAAATATTTTAAAATGTAAAGATTTATTAATGATGCGGGCTGTAGTATAAAAATTTTTGTTGCTTTATTTTCAGTGCACTTTTCTATATATTTTATTCATTTAATATTCTTTTAAGGTAGAAAAGAGTCATTTTAATATAGTCTCCTCTAAGTATATGGGAAGGATGAGTTTCAGAACATCCCCACCCCTGCAGAGACCAAAATCCAGATGCTCAAGTCCCTTATATAAAATGGCATATTATTTACATATAATCTATGCACATCTTCTATGTACTGACTGCAAGTAATCCCTAGGTTACTTATAACACTTAATACAATGTAAAAAAGTGGTTATACTATAATATTTGGGGAATAATGACAAGAACAAAAGTCTACGTTCAGTACAGATGTGATCATGTTGGCCTAAGCACATAGTGCACATCAGCAACAATATTACTTTTCTTCTTTTAAATATTTTTTACTCTGGAGATGTGGAACTCTCAGAAATAGATGGCTGATTTATAACTATCTATCATGTAGTCCTGGATATAAAATCTGAGCAGAAAGGCTCAGATTCTGAGTAAGCTCAACAAATACTGAGAAGTAGTTTTTTTCCCTGGTAAAAATCATAGGAGGGCCGAGGATTTAGCTCAGTGGTTCCACTGCCTTTCTCACAAGCGCAGGGTCCCAAGTTCGATCCCGGGTACCAAAAAACCCCAAAGGAAACATTAGAAATTAATGCAATTTTGTTGAATTTATTTTAAATAACCTGTAACTCTGAAGACTTCTAAATGTTAGGGCACCTACCATACCAACTTCTTTCAAAGCTGATGTCACAGAAATAACAGCTCTCATCTGTTGCTTTGATGGGGAGCCACCTGTTTCATGCTGTTCCAAAGGTGGAGAAACATCAGAACTCTTTACTCCTTTAGCCACCAACTATAAAAAAGAATTTAATCAATATACAGGGGATTTTTATATTTGCATGAAGATTTAAAAAGCTACTAGATCACATTATGCATGTTATATACAACTAATTTTCTCATTTCTCAATTATTTATTGTTAGTGTGACAAGTGCTGGGGATAGAGCAGGGAATACAGAGAAAACACTCTGGTCTCATATATAAAAATAAACATGGGTCATGTAGGCCTAACTGAATCACTTCCATTGCATTATCAATGTTTTATAAAATGGTCCTAAAAAGCAGCCTTTTGAAATATTCACTTTCAGTCACCTCATTTTAATTTTAATCAATTATAACATTTGGTGACAAGAGAAGTATTAATTAACTTTGCACTTCAAAAAAAAACTAAACCCACTCTATAATTCCTGGAATTTTTAGCAAAATCATCTTAAAATATGAATATGAATCACCCAACATAAGAGTTATTATAAAAATATCAACATAAATGAGGATGGAAAGAACAACAGATACAGATAAGATTTGGTTCACTGAAAATATATTGCATTTATACAGGTGTTTTTAATCATTCCATTTAGATTCAAACAATCTGAAGATTCTAAACTTTGAATAAACGTGAGGAAGTGGTATTTATAGGTATGTTAACAGTAACACAGCAAGAAGTCTACTCCCTACTTCTATTTTTCCGCAAATCAATAAATGAGGCAAACAATATAGATAATAAGAAGTAGGGAGATCTTCTGCAAATGGAAAGGGAATTAAGAGATTGAGGGAAGGTGGCAGGAAGGGAGAAAAAGGAGATGAGAAAATAACTGAGATCTGTTACGTACATGTACCAACATTCCACAAAAATGTAATCATTATGCAATGTAATCATGTACTAATAAAAACTTAAAACTGAAAAAAACAATAAATGAGAATTTCCAAGGAATAAACATTACAAACATAATATTTATTTAGTATCTTCTAAGAATAAAGTAGTGATGCAGGTGTATTATTTAGGTGTCTAGACTTTATTTCTATACCAATATCTATTTTGTTCAAAAAAAGATGGAAACATTGCTTTCATCCCATAGCTCAACAAGATTGAGAAAGTATGCTGATGTTTAAGATGTGACTATTAAAAGCTCCTTAAAATTTCTAGAGCTTGCACAAATATTCTCAAAATTATGTTGAAATATTTTGATACTGACACTTTTACTACTATCAAGTATACTTTCAAAGGTTTCATAAATTCTGAAGAAATAAAAACAAGTTCTAAAGTTCTGAACAATAGCATCCATTTTTAGGATATATAAAGTAAGTTATTTCTAAAACTATAAGACATTTCTAAAAATATCTGGCAGACACTTATAATGGGAACATTAATGAAACTCAGTAATATACTGTTCTGAAATGAGTAACATTTATAGAACCCCAATTGTATTGTGCCAATTCTGTTAAAGAAATAATTTTTCCAATTTTTTGAGAAAAAAATTCACACTATTTAATAAGAATTAATTTACCAACAAATTAAAAGATATATGAAGTGCCTAGTAATGTCAAACACAATTCTGGATATCAAATATCCAAAATAAGACTCAACATTTTTTCTCAAAGGACCATAGACTACACAAAAAAGGGAAATATATAAATTAATCAATATGTTACAGAGAAATAAAAGAAATGTGCACTAAATGAAGTGAGGTAAAATGAAACAAAACAAAAACCAGAGGAAAGACTATGTAAAGCAAGCAGGGGGACTAATAAGAACAGCCTTCATAGAGTAGTCAGTGTTTGAAGACCCCTTTACTGTTCGAGGTGGTAAAATACAGTGTTACCTCAGTTCACCAATGCTTCTGTTTATAAACAATTAGGTTCTCAAACAGGATTTGGCAAAATTTTCTTTTTGTTTGCGAACTCTGCATCGGTGTGCACGAATATGAAAGTGTTCATCTTTTCCAGAATCATGGAAAGAATTAAGTTTGTGAACCAAGGTACCACTGTATACTGGAAGCAGGATATTTCTACATTCAAATATCAAAATTATCACATATTAGTCCTGTGAGTTTTCTTTATTTAACATCTTCTATGAACTTCAAATTCTCTCTCTCTAAAATGGAATGTTGTACTCATTGCCTCCTTAAATGAAAGAATTTGCACAAAGCATGCAGGAGTGGATCAAATAAATGGTAGCAATTATTATTTAGTTTGTGTTAAATAACGTTATTTAGCTTGAACAACAAAAATCTGGTTTTAGTCTCTGAACAAATGAACTTGGCGAAGAAAAGTTTCTCATCTTTAGAATACAAAACCCCCCCCAAAACCTTCCATCTACCCTTGACCAGAATTTAAGATTTAGGTGTTACATAAGGAGGTTTTGGGACACAGAAATTGATGACAAACAGAAACCCAAAAGTCAAACTATATAAATTCAAACAAATATTTTAAATATTTAAAAAAACTTTTGGAAAGTAATTCAATTGTATGAATAATTAGATGAGATAATATAGATATAAGCAATTTCACTATAGCAAGAATAGCACTGACTTCCCTTTTCAATCTACAATACAATTTAATCATGTCAATAAAGATTATTTTAAAAGCTACTTCTAAACTTACTGGGGCAGATACGTATGACAGGAACACTGAAGAAGCTCTTAATAAAAGAAAAAAGTCACCATACCATACACATACTGTAATTATAATTCATTTAGCCATATTCTTTAAAATTCTTTCATGTGAAGGATGTAGCTTAGTGGCAGAACACGTATTCAGCATGGGCAAGGCCCTGGGTTTGGTCACTAGCAATAGAACATTTTCTTTCCTTTTCATTGCATACATAATTTTTACACAACTTAAACAAGGCAATGGCACAATACTCTGAACTATATGCATACTGGCCTAGGAAAAAATTCTAAAAACTTTCAAATGCTCAGCAGATTTTGTTCTTAAAGAATAGGAAAAGTTGGGGACGATTGAAATAGGGCAATAGGAAGATCCTGGCAAGCAGTGGAGTGGACCAGGGCAGCACCGCTGCAGGCAGATCCCAACCAGGGCCCAGCCTGGACACAAGTGGCTTCGGCACACAACCCAAGCCAAAGGGCCTCCCAGAAAACAGCTACACAGGGGGCAGGCCCTAGCCAGAAGCATGCCTAGATACCATCCAAATGTGCACAGGACCCAGCTAGAAGCCTGAGCAGACAACAGGTGAGCTCAGGGATCCAGAAGGCCACCACTCTGAACCCAGGAATTGGTGTACTGGTGAGCAGCAGAGTAAAGGCTGCTCGGTGGTTTGCTGAGAACTGAAGACCACTGGGTGAGCAAAAAGTTGCCTCAACAAAGGCACAGCAGGCTGCATCTATTGAAATGAGAAGACATGTAAACAAGTCTCAAAATCAGACTTCCAGATCACCTAAGGCAACCCCAAAGGGAAACAAGATGGAATAATCTGATACTCAATCCCCTGGACACCCTGAACTGGCAACAAAAAAGGATCTGGGAAAAAAGGAATCAGAAATAATTTCTCAGAAAACAGCAGAGATTGTGCCCATGGTGTAAGATGATTAATACATGTAGAGAAGACACAGATAAAAAAATAGAGGAGCTGAGGAACATGATGGAATCCCAACAAAGGAAACAAATGCAATCCATAAAACATGGCAAACAGATTTCCAGGAGATTAAAAATTCCATGGAAAGTTTATACAGCAGAATGAGCCAATGTGAGGACAGAATTTCAAATACAGAAGATAGGATTGCAATTAGCAACCAGGAAAAGAAAAAGTTCTTAAAAATAGTAAGGGACCATGAGAAATCAGTCCAGCAGTGGCTAGAGGATGCAAAGAAGAATAACATAATATTGATCAGTGTCAATGAAGAAACAGGAGAGAGTGCAGATGACATAAAAAAATGTTCACAGAAGTGATGGCAGAAAATTCCCCAAGTAGGGGAAAAGAGTTGACATACAGATAAGTGAGGCATACAGGACTCCAAATAGCCTTATCAAAAAAAATCTACAATAGGCATATAATTGTTAAGATTCCAGAAATCCAACAGAATAAAATTCTACAATCAATTAGACAAAATAAATAAATCACATAACAAGGAAAGCCCAAAAGAATCACAGCAGACTCAGCACAAATCCTCAAGGCAAGGAAAGCTTGGAGTGACATATTTCAAGCCCTAAGAGAAAACAACCTCCAACCCAGATTGATGTACCCTGCAAAACTATCTTTCAAAATTGATGGTGAAATAAGATACTTTCATGATAAAGAGCACCTTAAGAAATTCATGAATACCAAACCAGCACTCGAAAAAATTTTAAACAATATCCTAGGAAAAGACAATGAGGATCACAACCCCAGGAAGCCCAGCAGAATGGATCTTTCAGGCACGACAAGAAATTAAACACAAAGAGGAGAATTCAACAAAAGAAAAAGTCACAACAAGGAAGTCAAGACGTATCAGTTATAAATGACGATGTTAATGGTCTCAATTTACCATTCAAAAGAAATAGACTGGCAGAATGGGTCAAGAAGCAACATCCAACAATATACTGCATACAAGAAACACAGTTAGGGGCCGGGGATTTAGCTCAGTGGTTCCGCTACCTGCCTCGCAAAAGCAAGATCCTGTGTTTGATCCCTGGTACCCAAAAAAAAAAGCACACTTAATTACAAAAGAAGCTCACAGACTGAAAGTTAAAGGGTGGAAAACAATACTCCATGGAACAGGAACGCCCCCAAAAGCAGGAGTAGGTATCCTCTTTGCAGATCAAGTGGATTTCAAACCAACACTGATTAAGAGAGACAAAGAAGGACACTATATCCTTATAAAGGGAACAACTCAAGAGGAAGAGATGACAAACATAAATATATAGGCATCAAACACTAGTGCACCCAACTATATAAAACAAATACTAATGGACATGGAAAATCAAATAAGCACTAATACAACTGTAGTGGGGGACCTCAGCACCCCACTGTCACAAATAGATAGATCAACTAGACAAAAAACTAAGCAACGAAATACTAG